GCCTGTAATCCCAGCTACTCAGGAGGCTGAGGCAGGAGAATTGCCTGAACCCAGGAGACGGAGGTTGCGGTGAGCCGAGATCGGGCCATTGCACTCCAGCCTGGGTAACAAGAGTGAAACTCCGTCTCAAAAAAAAAAAATAAAATAAAATAAATACTTGTTAATACATAGAAATACTTAATACTTGTTCAATGGATGAAGGAAGCCCAATTCAAATCTCTTCCTGTGCCTTCAGAGAAATCTTTGCCATTGACAGCTTCAGAAGTTAACAAATTGGAGTCCACCTTTCCTACGCCAAGCCTGCGCCTCAGTCAGCATGACTTCTGTGATTCCAAAATGTTCCCCTTGACATTTCTTAGTTGCTTTTTCTTTTTCTTTTTTGAGATAGTCTCGCTCTTTTGCCCAGACTGGAGGGCAGTGGCACAATCTCAGCTTACTACAACCTCCACCTCCCAAGTTCAAGCAATTCTCCTGCCTCAGCATCCTGAGTAGCTGGGATTACAGGCATGTGCCACCATGCCCAGCTAATTTTTGTATTTTTATTTATTTTTTAAGATGGAGTCTTACTCTTGTTGCCCAGGCTGGAGTGCAATGGTGTGATTTCGGCTACTGTAACCTCTGCCTCCTGGCTTCAAGTGATTCTCCTGCCTCAGCCTCCTGAGTAGCTGGGATTACAGGTGTCCACCACCACACTCAGCTAGTTCTTGTATTTTTAGTAGAGCCAGGGTTTCACCATGTTGGCCAGGCTGGTTTCGAACTCCTGACCTCAGGTGACCTACCTGCCTCAGCCTCTGAATGCTGGAATTAGAGGCACGAGCCACCATGCCTGGCCAATTTTTGTACTTTTAGTAGATACGGGGTTTCATCATGTTGGCCACACTGGTCTTGAGGCTGGTCTCCAACTTGTGACCTCAGGTGATCTACCTGCCTCAGCCTCCCAAAGTGCTAGGATTACAGGCTTGAGCCACCGTGCCCACCTTCTTAGTTGCTTTCTATTGCCTGAAAGTTTTATGCCTAGGCTGGGCACGGTGGCTTACACCTGTAATCCCAGCACTTTGGAAGGCTGAGGTGGGTGGATCATAAGGTCAGGAGTCTGCGACCAGCCTGACCAACATGGTGGAACTCCGTATCTACTAAAAATACAGAAACTAGCCAGGCGTTGTGGTGCACACCTGTAATCCCAGCTACTCGGGAGGCTGACTGAGGCAGAAGAATTGCTAGAACCTGGGAGGTGGAGGTTACAGTGAGCCAAGATCATGCCGTTGCATTCTAGCCTGGGCGACAGTGACGTCTCAAAAACAAAAAAGGTTTATACCTTTAAGGAAGGAAACTGGCTCAGAGAGGTTAAATAACATTTATTGTTTGTATAACTGTGGATTGGGGGTTTTACATTGAAATTTGAATCCGGGGCCAGGTGTGGTGGCTCAAGCATGTAATCCCAGCACTTTGGGAGGCCAAGGAGGATCGCATGAGCCCAGGAGTTTAATACCAGGCTGGGCTACAGAGTGAGACCCAATCAAACAATAAATAAGAAATTTGAACCCGGCTGGGCATGGTGGCTCACACCTGTAATCCCAGCACTTTGGGAAGTCAAGGCATGTGGATCACCTGAGGTCAGAAGTTTGAGACCAGCTTGGCCAACATGGTGAATCCCTGTCTCTAGTAAAAATGCCACAAAAAAAAATTAGCTGGGCATAGTGGTTAAGATTGTAGTCCCAGCTGCTTAGAATCACTGAACCAGGGAGACAGAGATTGCAGTGAGCTGAGATTGTGCCACTGTACTCCAGCCTGGGCAACAGAGCAAGATGCCATCTCAAAGAAAAAGTTGTGTCCTTAGGTCTGTTTTTTCTTTCTATCAGTTACTTTTTCGGGAACTCAGATTATCATAAAATTAGGAAGTCCAGGCCGGGTGTGGTGGCTCACCCCTGTAATCCTGGCATTTTGGGAGGCCAAGATGGATGGATTACCTGAGGTTGGGGGTTCAAGACAGCCTGGCCAACATGGTGAAACCCCATCTACTAAAAATACAAAAAGTTAGCTGGTGCAGTGGTGTACGCCTGTAATCCCAGGAGGCGGAGGTTTTGGTGAGCCAAGATTGTGCTACTGCACTCCAGCCTGGGCCACAGAGCAAGACTTAGTCTCAAAAAAAAAATAAAAAGTCCAAAACTCCCAAACTGGTATCTGAAGTTCTCTGCTTCTCTAGTCTTTATTTTTATTTATTTATTTTTGAGATGGAGTCTCGCTGTGTCACCAGGCTGGAGTGCAGATCTCGGCTCACTGCAACCTCTGCTTTCTGGGTTCAAGGGATTCTTCTGCCTCAGTCTCTTGAGTAGCTGGGACTACAGGTGCATGCCACCTGGCTAATTGTATTATTAGTAGAGATGGGGTTTCACCATATTGGCCAGGCTGGTCTTGAACTCCTGACCTCATGATCTGTCTGCCTCAGCCTCCTAAAGTGCTGGGATTACAGGCTGAGCCACCGCCCCCCAACCTAGGACCAAGTTTTTATATTCCTAGAAAGTTCTAGGTAAGTCAATTCTACCTGAATCACCGCAGAGATTCTGTAAGTCCAGAGAGCCAATATAGTCACTGTACGTCCCAGCCTGGGTCATTAGGGAACAGCTCAAGTAATGGCATGGGGGCCTCATTCTGGCTTCGTGGAATGCAGCAGCTGTAGGGGCTCAGTTCTTTACCTGAAGCCCGAGCTCTACAGCTGAGCTTCTGTAGCGGCATTATCAAGGGGGCATTTTTCATGGGATTCCACAGCCCAAAGGAGACTAAGAAGCCCTCTAATTCCATCTCCCGTTAAGATGGGAAAACAGAAAACTCAATAGCATAAAGAGTTAAGTATTGGTGGGCACCGTGGCTCACCTCAACTAAAAAAATACAAAAATTAGGCGATAGTGGCGTGTGCCTGTAATCCCAGCTACTCAGTAGCTGAGGCAGAGATTGCAGTGAGTCGAGATGGTGCCACATGCACTCATCTGGGTGACAAGAGTGAGACTGTCTCAAGAAAAAAGGAAAAAAGCCAAAAAAGATATGCATTGAGACTCCTTTCCACCAAGAAACAATTCAATCTTTAGCAAAAGAGCCTTAGGTATGTTGAGAATAACAGCACCTACTTATATACAACACCCATGTCGCCTGGCTCATGTCACTCAAGAAAAAGTGAGCTAGTTGGTAGGTTTTGTCACAGGGGTCTTCTGCGCCCCCTTGAGTTCTGGGCCTAAAAGTGAGGCTGAGGCTGCAGCTTGGTAAGACGTGAGCAGTTATAACCATACTCCGTGACTGTGAGTCCCATCTGATGCTGCTAGGTGAAGGGGCGGAGCCTTATAGTGGCTAGAAGAAAATGTCACAAGCTCTCAGCCTTTCTTGAAGCCCTGGGCATATAAAACGGAGCAGGAAGGTCCTTTCACCTTTCACCCCCCCTTTTTTTTTTGAGACAGAGTTTCTCTCTTGTAACCCAGGCTGGAGTGCAGTGGCGCGATCTCGGCTCACTGCAACCTCAGCCTCCCGGGTTCAAGCA